AAGCATTTTTTTTAATATATGATTTGCATAATTTTTACCCTTAAATTATTTCGTTGTGAATACAACAATTTTACAAAAACAATCTTATTTTATTAAATTGATGAATTTAAAAAATGCTTAAAATGCATGATAAAAAATTAACAATAAGCGAATGTATCAAAGATTACCCTCCATTTTAATTATCTTTACATGCATTGTTTATAGATCTTCAATCTCATCCCTTATCGTTATTGAACGCACAAAGTCATCTCACTCATTATCGAGAATATTTAATTCCGAAGAATTACAACCCATTACTTAACTTATAAACTTTGCTTCTTGTCTTCAAGGTAATATTTAATTAGATACTAAATCTTATATACATTTGATATATACTTCAAATGAGTCAAAATATCCTCTCGCGGTTTTTATAGAGATTTAAATTTAAGTAATATGTAATCATTTAAATTATTTATTTTTGTTTTAAAATATTAACAATGATTATATGTAAATTGTGTATTAATAGTTAATATATAATGTTAAATTCATAAGCAATAAATCTTAGCTCAATTTATAATACTAAATATGACAAGTCGAATAATTTAACTTTATTTTATCAGAATTAATGTTTGTTAGAAATATAATGAATGATACCATTTTTGAGATGAATGAAAATCTATAAGAACCAATTTATTGAATTTGATTATTATTAATGAGCGTAATCCGTTTGTATTATTTAATTCTAATTATTAGAGCATAACATGAAAATTTGTGGAAATTGAAAATGTATTTATTAGTTATTCATTGGTTTAATATAGAGCATGAACAAGCATTAATGGAACTAAAAACTTTAAATTAAGATAGTTATATATAAATTTATTAAAGCGTGACACGATATCCATGAATATTATTCGTGCTGATATATACTGTATCATTTCATTTAACATGATACCATGGTTTATAGCAGTGAATGTAAAGCTTATTAACTATTTTTCGATTTCAATTATATATTTCTTTTTTAATTTAGTTATTGATTTTTGGGAAAAATTCATTTCAAAATCATAATCAGTATTTAAAATTTTTGCAATGGTAAAATTATTGAGAGTCAAAAACGAAGAACCATTTATTTTCATCTATTGGAATTGAAAGTTATGATAATATAATGCCATTAGAGTCTGTTACATATATCATTCCTAGATTTCATATGATTATTTAAAATTAATATTTGTTTATATTGTTTTATAAATTAATTCTTTATTATTATAAGCAAAAAATAAAGCGATATACTTTTTTTTTTTTTGAAATAATACGATCATTATCAAGTTTTTTTTTTTAAAAAAAAAATATAAATTATTAAAAGAGTGCAAAATACTCAAAAATCAATGCAGTTATTTTTAAAAATGCAGATTAATTGAAGAGCATATTATAATAAAATTTCCTTAAAAGTTATACTATTTTTAATAATAATGATATAATATATTATTACTTATTACTGTCAATTTATAGTAAATGTTTTAGAAATATTAATAGTAATAGCGAGCGATTTATAATGATAATTCAATAACGCGCTATCATTACGTAACTACGTAACTTACAGAATTAAGATCTAACAAATTATTGTAGGATTTTTATATTTTTAGATATTTTTAATTATCAAAATAAATTTATTATTATTATTATAAGTTTGTAAATATTATTACATATCGATCAAAATTAAAAATAAAGGTGTAACCCTTTAGCGATAATTAAAAATAATTAAAAATAAAGGTATGATTATTAAGTGATAATTAAAAATAATTAAAATAAAGGTGTAATCTCTGAGCGATAATTAAAAATAATGTGTGGTCCTTAAGCTATAATTAAAATAATTAAAAATAAAAGTATGGATCCTTAAGCGAGCGTTAATCAAAAATAATTAAAAAAATAAAGGTGTGATTCTTAGGCGATAGTTAAAAATAATTTAAAAACAAAGGCCACTAATCCAATAGCGTATAAAGTTCTTGGTAAAAATTGAAGGGAAGATGCAGATGATGGTTTTGATGATGCGGAAGCCGAAGGTGCTGCTGATGATGCTCCTATAAGAATAATTCATAATATTTAAAGAATTTATTAGTTATTGCTGAAAATCATAATAATAATTTTGAAAAAATAAAAAATAAACTTACCAGTGGATGCAGGAGGTCCACCTGAGGGGGCACCTGAGGCAGGAGGTCCACCTGAGGGAGCACCCGAGGCAGGAGGTCCACCTGAGGGAGCACCCGAGGCAGGGGGAGCACCTGTTGGAGCACCCGAGGCAGGGGAAGTACCCGAGGGAGCTTCTGATGGTGTACCAGATTGGCCATTAACAATTATTGACAGTAAACAAATAACGAGGATCGTAAGAATTAATACGTAAGAAGTTTTTGATGCCATTTTTTTTTTAGTTGTAAAAGATTTTTTTTTTTTTTTGCTAGATAGCTTTGATGAATATTAAGATAATTTTATGAGTGAATTAATAATATTATTATAATTATATTAGATAGAAATAAGAATTTCTTGTTTTTTTATTAAAAAAATATATTTTTTTTTTAAAAGAAAACAAGTTAATTAAAAACCGAAGGAGGGGGGAATTCACATTTATTTATTAATTTTTCGAATTATTTAAATATTGCAAATACTAAAAAGATATATACATAAATGTGTGACAAACGCCAAACGACAAACGCCAATAGACAAACAACTAATGATATTATTTATGTATATTATATTTACAATTTATATACAGAATAAAAAAAAAATGTAGGAATTTTCTATCTAAAATATATTTGGTATTTTACGGGGCGGTCAAATACAATCGTCAAGCATACATAAAGCATAACGGTGGTGATACATAGACACATTACGCTTTACTAATGCATGATTATTATTCTTTGCATAATTATTATTATTAAATCATTAATTAATTTATCACACAATGATTTTGTGTTCTTATTTTTGTATTATTATTATTATTATTATTATTTTTGCCAAATTGCCAAGCAATATAGCTTAACCATTTTTGGAACGACAAGGAAAAAGTAATTTAAAATTTTCGAAGCGATACGATATAGCAAAAATTACGCATTTTTGGGATGACAAAGGAGTAAATAACAATTACACATTTTTTGGAATGACAAAGGAGTAAAAAAGGAGTAAATGTCGAAGGGAAATCGCGCACATACATATACAAAAACCTTAGAAAAATAATTTTAAATTTGGTTATTAGGCAATGACGTGACGATTAAGAATTTTTATTATAATTAAAATATATATACATATTAATTTCATCCTCAAGATATTTATTTATTTTATTAAAAACGTAAAGCAAACATTTTTGACGTTTAAATTAGATAATTAGAGAATTTAATCATTAGAGCCGTCGAACGACTAAGTTAAAAAAAAAAAAAATAATCAAAAAAAAAAAAATTAATTCGGAAATGATGATCGGGTATAAACAATTCACTCCGTGGACAATAAACAAACGTAACGTATCGGAATGGTAATTTTTTTTTTTAATTGTTATCGCACATTGTATATCTAATTTTTTGGGAAAATATCATTATTACGTAATTCCATTCTGGGATATATTATTCAATATATCAATGAGCGTATAGTATTATTATTGGGTGTTAGCACCCGGGATATATATCAGTTATTAAACCGCTCAATCGCCAGAATTCCCACTGGTTTCACGGTAAATAACTATTACGCATAGAATAAAATAAAAAAAAATTTTTAAACAAGATATTCTTGTATATGGTGACTTCGTCGCCGCCATGTATTATGTCTAATTTATTAATTTTCAAAATACAATTAAATTAAAGGATTTTCGAATTGATAGCACGATAATCGACCCAATATTCTTTTAACGTGAACAATAATTAAAATAATAAATTAGTTTGTGGAAAATCGCCCCTTTTTCCAAAAGGAAATGATCGTGTTTTTTGAAAAAAAAAATTGAAAAAACGAATGTAATAAAAAAATGTATCACTTTGGGAAAACAATAAAATTGGATTTTTTTTTTTTTTATTCGAAGGGTCCATTGATAACCATTGATGGCCATTGATGAGATGCACTCTGCGGTTGTACGATCGTTTCATTTTTGTAAAAGCCCTTTTTAAGAAACATGCTTCGAATAATTTATTTCAATTGTTCATTTGTTCCTTATTTAATTTTTTATATAAAGTCATCAATCACGACATATATTTCTAATTGAATTTTTAATAAAATATTTTTACTATGTGCAGTGCATCAAGTTGTGACAATCACCTATAAAATAAAATTCCGCATCGATTGGCTGAAATAAAAAATTTTTCATTTATTATTTTTTTTTGTGAACCATGTTTATAAATTAAAAATTTCCAAATAACGTATCTTGTCAAACCCATTGTCATTGAGACTCAATGACGATAAAAAATTGTAACACCCCCTTATTGTTATTGTTATATACAAAAAAGTATTCATAATGAAAATAGCATAAAAAAAAAAAGAGCACGTATTTGTTACATTTCATACATTTCACAAATTTTTTGTAACATAAAATCTTGAATTGCTTTATTTGACATTTTTATTGTAGGAAAATTTTTATGATTTCCTTTAATATATTTGTAAAAAGATTTACATCTGAATTTCTGAAAAAATATGATTATTTTAACCTCGAGAAAGCTTTTTCTAAAAACTTGAATGTTATTCTTTAGAATTCTTAGAAAGGTTTTAAGGTTTAGAATGTAATCAGGTTTTTATACGTATTAAAACGGTTATGCACTCATTGTTACTAATTTAGTCGAACAACTATTTTTATCGCTTACATCAATTCGGATAAATGTCCGGAATTAGTATGTTACGTTATTTTCACGTTTTGAATAAATAAATCATCTACTCTAAAGTATTATTTTTATTAATTCAATTTATTTTTTAAATTTTTTTTTTCTTTTCTTTTCTTTTTTTTTTTTTATCAAAATTTATCCCGCCTACCCGTACCCGATTTTTTAAATATTCTAAATTTTTATCTATATTAGCCTTGGGTATAAATTTTTTTTTTTCATTTCATTAATTCAATAGCGTAGTCTATAATTAAGATTTTAATAAATTGATAAAGAGAATTTATTTATATTTTTTTCAATAAATTATATTTACCTGTAAAAAAATTGCTCATTTATTATAATAATTATATTAAAACGGATATAAATCTTTTAAAAAAGGTTATATTTTGTGATAGGCTCGAAATTATATATATATATATATTTATAATGTTCAAAATAATCTCGCATCAATATAAATCTAGAAAGGAATTAAAATTATCTATTTTTTTTCCAACCTCGTTACCAAAATTTTATATAAATTATTCGAATTATTCTATAATTTTAAGCTCTTGAAAGCTTAAAAATATTTTTCTGTGCACAGCAAGGTAAATCCAAAACGATCAATAATGAACTTTACTTATAGCTGTCAATTTTAGAAGTTATATTGGAAATTTAAAAATAAAATAAAATAAAATAAAATAAATAAAAATAAAATAAAATAAATAAAAATAAAATAAAAATAAAATAAAAATAAAGATAAAATAAAATAAAAATAAAAATAAAATAAAAATAACATAATTAGTAAAATTCGATCCAGCAAAAGGTTCGCAAAGCGTATAAAGAAATGAAACGATATATACTGATCAAAAGACCGCCCGTGGGAAAGCTTGTCCGTCAATATTAGAACTCAATTCAGCGGTGAAGATTACATTTTTTTTGACCCTTATTGACTGAAAATCTCTTTTGCTTTACCATAAAAGCAGTGATTGTAAATATTCGTTTATATAAAATATCAATTTGTATTCTATAATAAATATGTTAACATTTAAAACATGGAATGTTCTTATGATTTTCAATTCTATAATTTAAATGAAATGAACTAAGTAAAATTTTATTTTAAATCATCTGACTGTAAGTTAATCTAAATAATAAATTGTGTTATTTTTTAACCTATTTTATATTGATCGTGTATTTAAAAATCTCTCGATTGTTTATTGAATTATTAATTATTTTGAGACTTCTCTTTATATATTTTTTTTCATCGATTTTTTACTTTCCTATATTACTTGCACATATTATACATTATATAAAAATACTAACTAATCATTTATAAAATAGAACCTGACATCGAAAAATAAACCATGTAACATGAGATACCGAATAACTAATTCTCAAGATAATCAAACTCAAGACAAATAATAATAATTCTCAAGATAATGTGGGAATTTCCGTCGCCATTAACAACAATAACTAAAATTTTAATTATGTGTTGTTCTTTATATTATTATATTTATTACAAATTTTTTTTTTCTTAATGAATATTAACCATATTTATAATAAACATATATTCAATATATTTTTTTTTGTTATTTCAAAGTGAAATCATTATCATCAAATAATACTCAAAACGAAAAAAAGTTAATGATGATGATAATAAAGGTACTGAAACTCCATTCAAACCATCATCATTCAATAACGAAGTCGTGACGATAGATGAGTTGTTGATAAAGATGATAATAATCAAATTAAATCTTTAACAAAAAAAATGATGACGATGCTGATAGCAATGATGATAATGATATTAATAATGGTGATGAAGAAAATTGATCAAAGAAAAGTTACAAATTAAGTCTAGATCTAAGCGGCTATTACGTAATAATAATAAACAATTATAATAAGGAGTAAAGATGGGATATTTGCCATGACATGAAAATACAATTGGTGGTCACTAAAGTCAATGAAATCAATGAAACTATTAGAGAGTTTAATCCTTTAGCTTGGGACAAAACAAAAAATGGTGATGAAAAACCAATAAAAGTTTTATATTTTCATTTATAGATGATATGATAGTATTCGATAGTCAATTCTTTGTAGAGTTAAATTATATTCATAAAGATAAATTTTGTCCATGTTTTGGATTTGAAAAATTCATAATGTATTCGGATATATCTGGTATATCTGGTTTTACTCAAGATAGTGAAAATCGGTGTTTCAATATTTCTATTGAATATTATGAAATTTCTATTAGGACAGCTAGTTATAACGATAAATTCTCTATTAAAGATTATGAAGTATTTTAAAGTTGTTAACGAATCTATCTAAACCTTATTTATTTTTTTTATTTTGCTTATTTTATTATCTTTAATATTTAAATTATTATATTTGTGTACTGTAATTATTTATATAATAAAGAATTGCTCATAATATAATTGAACATTAAATAATTTATCATAATGAAAATTCGTTTTTCTATATATCTGATATTGAATTATATCAATTATACAATTATTAATAATTATTAGTTAGTACCAATCACTATTGTGGTTTTTTATATGTTAATTAAAATTTAAATCAA